CTCCTCTAGCAACCATCACATCATCAGCTTCGTTAACTATCTCGTCGGCATCCATTCACCCCTTATCATATACATTTATAGCTAGCTGTGCGCTTCCCACCGTAAATCTGCAAATTTCACGACCGAGAATTCTGCGCAGGGTGATAAGTTAAAGGGAATACACCAGAATAGAAATTTCTTCCGAGTTTTCTCCCATGGATGAGCGTGCGATTCCCAAGTGTACTCCAAAGAGGTCGAAAAATAGAGAAGATAGGTCTTGATAAGGGTCCTAGAACCGGCTTAGCCGACGTACACACCCAAGGCGGACGAGTGCTTAGGGAGTTGTAAAAGCTGTAGAGGTTGCATCAATCTGACCAAGACCCACTTCCGTGCGCAGGTAGCTTACAGCCAACTGTAAGCAATGGCGCACAATCTGAATAGATCGTTCAAATATACCTCCCATCAACTTCTGTCGTCACAATCTCGTCCAACCCTTGATTGGCCTAATGCCGACCTTTTCTTCCCTTTTTTGTTATGCTCTCAACTATCACTTCTATAATTCATCTAACACCAGCTACCCCAGAATTATCGTGAACTGTGCCTGGCACTGAAAGCAATCGACTTGCCGAGGTGTCGTCGATTTTCAGCCATTCTGCGAAAACCATGTTAACATTCCGTATACACCGAACAATAGGTCTGCTTTATCTTCTATAGTTGTGTTCTGACAGCAGGTAGCTGAAAGCTTGTACTTGGAAGATTTTCTATATATCAATCCGGGAATATCTCGACCCATACTTAGTGTGCCCCACTTGCCATTACAGCACAGTTCTGTTTACACTCACTACACTTTCCAGTCGGTCACATTTTGAAGTCATTTTACGAATCAACATCACTCTGTGATGAGCAATTTGATTTCGAGTTTTGGTATTATGGTAAGGTAGAAGAGAGATCCTTTCTTTTTTTGTACGGGATCTGTATCGCTCTGATTCGGATAAATGTCACTAATGAAATTTATTCTTACAACATTCTCATTAGTGTGAATTATGCCATCTCCAATGTACTCTCATTTATGAAATGTTAGTACTCTCCTTGAATAATCAAAGTGTTCGGAGAAGAACGTTAGATAATTGAATTTTCTGATAATTGGAGGCGTTCCCCCGCGGGAAATGAGTGGCTACGGTGCTTCATAGCACAGTAGCTATATCATCCCACTGTTTCGCAGGTCGAAGCATTCGTGAACTGGTAAACAAATTACTAGTAATTTTTGGACTGATAAGATTTGGATTAATTATCGAGGGAATCCTCATTCTCCACAACAAGAGCTTTTTCGTGGCGATGTTGTAAGCAGAAATACGGCTCTGATCTCATTTTTGTCTCTCCGTTGTTGGAAGTTAGCCTTGACATGGTTTAGCTCCGTTTTGTGATCCTTCGCCATTCCTCTTCACTCCTTTCTGTTGTGATAGCTATCACTATCAGAAGTTCGGTTCTATATAGCTGAAAATAAATCTTTCAAATGTTCTCAATCAAGAGGCAGTGGAAAGTAAAGAACCACTGTGAGAGCCATCGTTAAAGTTGTACTGTAGGACTTGCATTATCGGTCCAATTGGCAGTGTCGCTAGTAGAGACAGAACGGTTGAATCGAGACAGTATTTCATAGTTGAGCTTCCTTGTCAGGCTCTAACTAAACAAACTCATTTACTTATAGATATCATGCACCACAATGTACAACAAACTATTATCGAAGGCATACTGGTGGCTGCTTATGCTTTTGTTCTTTTCATCATTATCACATCCAAAATAAAAAAATTTGAAAACGCATTTTATCTGATATTTGTAGCGACAGGTAAGCTAATTCGGAATTACGTAACCTTTCTGATTATCCTAATGAGTGGCCTCGAAAAAGCTTTTTTCCATAGGGACGCTGTAGGAATGGTGTGGCCAAAACATAAGGAGAGGAGATAGAAGTAAATTCTTGATGTCCAAGCTATAGCATATGAGGGTTCTCAGTAACCGACCAGACAAAAGTTCAAGATTAATATGTTATGGGCTGCCTAAGAATTGAAGCGTCTATCTTCTACTACCTAAGGACACATGCGTTCGTTGAACATCGCTGTACATTTCTAATGGATTAGTTTCGCCTTGGTTTGGTGATTGCTTCAGGGGATGGCATCGATACAGTGATACAGTGCTTGTGAGTAGTAGAAACACTTAGGAGGGTGAAAGCAAGCGGGTAAGAGGAGTGATGCATCTCTATTATATTGGGGAGTAGATGTGCAGCCTAACAATACATTCAACGCAGAAAATCTCCTGCTAACACAGGGGGGATTTCTAATTGTGTGCAGGCACAGTCCCCATAAACTCTTGCCGCGAGCCAGCATGGTCAACCATAGGTCTTATGGTTCAGGTTGAATTATCGAGATTCTCAAAACTAGAGAAAAAGTCATTGGTCGAGAAGTGAGGATGGCAGAAAGGCATTATAACCGAGAAACAATTATTTTTGTTCAGGAATCGCTGACGTCTTCGCCATACTCGTAGCTTGCTTCCATAGACTGAACCATGAACTTGGTCTGGGTCCAGAATTCAAACCAGTTGTATCAACCATGATCGTATTCGGTGGTACAACGTTTCTCACCCACATAATTGGTAACATGCTTCTTGCATTCAATCGATATTCTGCTCTTCGCTTCCCAGATACTTACGATAAGGTAAGAAAAATCGTCGATTTACAATCATGTTCAAAAATTGCTTCTCTACCATGATTCTGTATTCAAGATTTGGTGTCGAAGGAATGTGAGGATCATGATTCTCCTTCAATATATCGTGGCATTTGCGGTATTTACACAAATGTTTGGGGTGGAGCTATTGTATAAAGAGAATGCTGATGGACGGTATACATTTGCTGATGTGGATTCCTTAAGCAAATGGGTAAGCAACTACTTTTTCTTCAATAAAAGCTAGGTGCAGCTAGTTTTAAAGGCACAGTTCACGATAATTCTGGGTAGTCCAGATTATGATGAAAAATGGACGACAAGATCGAAAGTAGTGCGATGAAGGTGGAGAAACTGCGTGAATCGGTGTTTCAAACTGGAAAAAGGCTTCGAAGAACCGTTAAACAGGGGGCTGGACGAGAATGAGTTCAAAAAAATGGAGAAGAGTGGGGCGTTTGGACGAGCTATACGATGTGTCTCACTGCGTACGTGTGGGTCCTGGTGCGAATAAAAGATAACGGTAAGCGAAAA